GACTGCTATTCAATCTAGTACAGTGAAAAAAGATTATTATTTTTTTTAAATCCAAACTATTGTGACACAGGATCTAATTAGTGGCACTTGTCAGCGTATCCACTGTTAGCGTAACACACCCGCTTTAAGGACACTGACTGCTATTCAATCTATAACAGTGAAAAAAGATTATTTTTTTTTTAAAACCAAACCATTGTGACACCAGATCTAATTAGTGGCACTTGTCAGCGTATCCACTGTTAGCGTAACACACCCGCTTTAAGGACACTGACTGCTATTCAATCTATAACAGTGAAAAAAGATTATTATTTTTTTTAAATCCAAACTATTGTGACACAGGATCTAATTAGTGGCACTTGTCAGCGTATCCACTGTTAGCGTAACACACCCGCTTTAAGTATTTACCGACTGCTATTCAATCTATAAATAGTGAAAAAGATTATTTTTTTTAAAACTAAACCATTGCGACACCAGATCTACTATTAGTGGCACTTGTCAGCGTATCCACTGTTAGCGCATCACACCCGCTTAAGGACACTGACTGCTATTCAATCTATAACAGTGAAAAAAGTTTTGTTTTTTTTAAATCCAAACTATTGTGACACCAGATCTAAGTGGTGGCACTGGTCACCGTATCCACTGTTAGCGTAACACACCCGCTTTAAGGACACTGACTGCTATTCAATCTATAACAGTGAAAAAAGTTTTTTGTTTTTTAAATCCAAGCTATTGTGACACCAGATCTAATTAGTGGCACTTGTCAGCGTATCCACTGTTAGCGTAACACACCCGCTTTAAGGACACTGACTGCTATTCAATCTATAACAGTAAAAAAAGTTTTTTGTTTTTAAATCCAAGCTATTGTGACACCAGATCTAATTAGTGGCACTTGTCAGCGTATCCACTGTTAGCGTAACACACCGCTTTAAGGACACTGACTGCTATTCAATCTATAACAGTAAAAGTTTTTGCTTTTTAAATCAAGCCACAGACACACCAGATCTAATTAGTGGCACTTGTCAGCGCATTCACTGTTAGCACTACACACCGCTTAAAAATACTGACTGCTATTCAATCTATAACAGTGAAAAAAGTTTTTGTTTTTAAATCAAGCTATTGTGACACCAGATGTAATTGGTGGCACTGACTGGGGAAATGGGCACAGTATGCACTGTGAGCCTGACACAGAAGCTGGCAGCAGTGGCAGACAACTGACTGCTATTCAATCTATAACAGTGAAAAAAGTTTTTTGTTTTTAAATCCAAGCTATTGTGACACCAGATGTAATTGGTGGCACTGACTGGGGAAATGGGCACAGGCACTGTGAGCCTGACACAGAAGCTGGCAGCAGTGGCAGACAACTAAGTGCATTTACATTACATAGAAAAAAAAAATCCAAAAAAAGCATACCCTTATCCCTAACCTAGCTATGCTTTTCCCTATCTTATGAACAGCAGCTACACTTTCCCTCCTCTTACTAAGCATGCAGCTTGAGAATGAATCTAAAATGGATGCTGTCCAGTAGGTGGGAGGGTCTGCTAGGGAGGCTGTGCTGCTAATTGGCTGGAATGTGTCTGCTGACTGTGAGGTACAGGGTCAAAGTTTACTCAATGATGACGAATAGGGGGCGGGTCGAACCGCGCATATGTTCGCCCGCCGTGGCGAACGCGAACATGCTATGTTCGCCAGGAACCGTTCGCCGGCGAACCGTTCGGTACATCACTACTTGGGAATGCTGCAGCACTACTCACATTGGGGGGGGGGACATCTCTGGCGGCGGAAACCCCTCTTCGGGTTGGCCGCTAAAGTGCATAGTGTATCCATGGCAACCATTATATATCTGGATGCTCATAAAGTGTATTGTGTGTTTCAGTTTTTCCCCGTACGATGGCAATTTGCCCAGTATGCAAAGCTATACAATACCTTGCACAATTATTCAAACCTGTGACCATTTGTCTGACAATCACTAGATTGTCAAAAGTACGCTAGAAAACTGTAAGATGTGCAAAGTTGAAATTTAAAATGGAACATTATAAATTAAAAAAGGAAAAAATCCTGTAAATATTCAGTATACAATGTGTGCATTAAAGGGGAAATATCAAGTGCCATGACTTTTCATATTACATTAATTCTTATATTTAGTACATATGTATTTGTAAAATGTGAAAAATAAAATAAACTGTAGGAACAAACATCTCTTTATCCTGTAACTGGGCGCCTCCATCTTAGCTCCATGAAAGGAGAAGTAAAACTGTTTATATTTCTCCACTTCATTTGCAATGTGTGCCTTAACTGAACTGGATTATGATGTCTCTTGCTAAATATTTAATTCAAATTGATAAGAAAATGCAGCTTTGCATGAAATAATGATAACATTCTAGATGATTCTCAATGTTTTATTCACTGGTGTAAATACCAGTGACGGTTCACCTTTAAGACTCTCATGATTGGTTGATATTGCCGTTGATGTATTTACCCTTAGAGAAACTGTGTTTTATATATATATATAAAATGTACTGCATTAAAACCTTTGAATACCTTATTGATACAATATCTGTGTGGTGTGATTCTTTAAGTATTCCCAGCAGCTGGAGAGTTAAATGGAAAGTAGAAACATTTTCTTTGTTATTGCGTAAAGCCATGGCAGTGTAAGGGTTTCCAGTCTCTGAGATGATTTTCAGCCTAACATCACGTAACAAGGAAATAGTGCAGCCAGGAAGCAGTTTTAAAGACTGCTATTGGAATCCCCGAACAAGTGAAATAGGACCCACAGTTCCCAAAAGAAGTACCACACAATACTTTTTTTGAACAATGACTAGTAATTTGGTGAATTGTCCTTAAACGTGTGGGGGAAATCATTTAATATACAAATATACAGAAAAATGGGAAATAAGCAATTCAAGTAATACATCAAAATATATATTACAAGTAGTTCTTTAAAACACATTAAAGTGCATATAAAGATAGATATAGTTACACTAAATTACATGTCAACTTTATGTCAATTTGCACATTTTCATTCAGTTAACAGGGGATGCTTACAAGTTATCACAATACCAATGCATCATTTGTACATTGCTACTGTTAGTTATTATTTATATTGTTAGCATGAGAAAGGCTTTGCTATAACACGAGGTGCTGAAATGTAAGCAAACTTTGAATTGAATTTAGAATGTCTCACATTCAGAGTAAAATATATTTTATTCCTAAATTAATATATAGATGCCCCTATGACTATGACATTTGGAACAATTAAAACATCACACAATTACTCTCCTGTGTGAGTTCTCTGATGACTAACAAGGTGTACATGCAGGCCACATTCAGAAAAAGGTTTCTCTCCTGTTTGAATTATTTGATGAATAACAAGCTCTCCTTTACTGATAACACATTTTCCACATTCAGAATATGTGTGAGTTCTCTGATGTGTTTCAAGACTTGCTTTACCGACTTGACATTTTCCATTCCCACATAGCAACCAAGCAACATGGTGGGAAGTAGCAGAATTAAAAGGTAAAAGAGGCCCTTTAAGAAGGCGTGAAAAATAGGTTTGTGAAATAACAGCTACTTTTGGATGCCATAGTCTGAGGAGGTGGGTTTTGAGGGACTTGATTTTCCAGAATTTTCTTCATATGGCGTTGGCTGCCACACTTAGCTTTGCATCCTGAGTGAAACTTATGAATGCTGTTGTTTGGGTCACAGACAGTAAGAGAGAGTCTGGGATTAGATAAAGCAATAAACTGTGTGTGAAAAGGCATGCAGAAATTAAGTGAGAAAATTAAACCAATCAATGGGAGAGATTAGTTAGGTGAAATTGATAAATGGGGAACATCAAATAACCAGACAATATGTGCAATAACTCTCACACTAACAAAAATTAAACAAACATTAAAGAATTCAAGAGTTGTGCATTGAAGGCACAGAAGTTTTCAAATTTAACATTAATATCAAAGGGGAGGAAAGTAAAGAGGGGCTCTGTAGAGTTAACATATTTGCAATACCAATGCATCATTTATACATTTCTATCACAGGTATTTTGTTTTTGTGTCAGCAATAAAGCAATTCACAGTATTAGTTGTTTAATTCTGATGCTAATTCATAAACACATTATAAAAACTCTTCTGTGTGAGTTATCTGATGATTAACAAACTCTGGTTTACTAACAAAACTATTTCTCCATTCTGTACATGAGAAAGGTTTCTCATCTGTGTGACTTCTCTGGTGTGCAACTAGAGCTGAGTGCTGGCTAAAGCATTTTCCACAGTCAGAACATGACAAAGGTTTCTCTCTTGTGTGAGTTCTCTGGTGTGCAACTAGATGTGAATGCCTGTTAAAACATTTCCCACATTCAGCACATGAGAAAGGTTTCTCTCCTGTGTGAGTTCTCCAATGTGTAACCAGATTTGAATGCCTGTTAAAACATTTCCCACATTCAGCACATGAGAAAGGTTTCTCTCCAGTGTGAGTTCTCTGGTGTGCAACTAGAGTTGCCTTAAGGGTAAAACATTTCCCACATTCAGCACATGAGAAAGGTTTCTCTCCTGTGTGAGTTCTCTGATGTTTAACAAGATCTGAGTGCTGGCTAAAACATTTCCCACATGCAGAACATGTGAAAGGTTTCTCTCCTGTGTGAGATCTCTGGTGTGTAACAAGGTGTGCATGGCTGTTAAAACATTTTCCACATTCAGAACATGAGAAAGGTTTCTCTAGTGTGTGTTTTCTCTGGTGTGCAACTAGAGTCGAGTTATGGCTAAACCATTGCCCACATGCAGAACACGAGACAGGTTTTTCTCCTGAGTGAGCACTCTGATGTGTACTAAGACTTGAGTAATGGCTAAAACATTTTCCACATTCAGAACATGAGAAAGGTTTCTCTCCTGTGTGAGTTCTCTGGTGTGCAACTAGAGATGTTCTATGGCTAAAACATTTCCCACATTCAGAACATGAAAAAGGTTTCTCTCCTGAGTGAGTTCTCTGGTGTGCAACTAGAGATGTTCTATGGCTAAAACATTTCCCACATTTAGAACATGAAAAAGGTTTCTCTCCTGAGTGAGTTCTCTGGTGTGCAAATAGAGATGTTCTATGGCCAAAACATTTCCCACATTCAGAACATGAAAAAGGTTTCTCTCCTGAGTGAATTCTCTGGTGTGCAACTAGAGATGTTCTATGGCTAAAACATTTCCCACATTCAGAACATGAAAAAGGTTTCTCTCCTGTGTGAGCACTCTGGTGTGCAACTAGAGATGCCTTAAGAGTAAAACATCTCCCACATGCAGCACATGTGAAAGGTTTCTCTCCTGTGTGAGATTTCTGGTGTGTAACAAGGTGTGCATAGCTCTTAAAACATTTCCCACATTCAGCACAAGGGAAAGGTTTCTCTCCTGTGTGAGTTCTCTGGTGTGCAACTAGAGATGCCTTAAGGGTAAAACATTTCCCACATTCAGCACATGAGAAAGGTTTCTCTCCTGTGTGAGTTCTCTGGTGTGCAACTAGAGATGCCTTAAGAGTAAAACATTTCCCACATTCAGAACACGAGAAAGGTTTCTCTCCTGAGTGAGCACTCTGATGTGTACTAAGACTTGAGTACTGGCTAAAACATTTTCCACATTCAGAACATGAGAAAGGTTTCTCTCCTGTGTGAGTTCTCTGGTGTGCAACTAGAGATGCCTTAAGGGTAAAACATTTCCCACATTCAGAACACGAGAAAGGTTTCTCTCCTGAGTGAGCACTCTGATGTGTACTAAGACTTGAGTACTGGCTAAAACATTTCCCACATTCAGCACATGAGAAAGGTTTCTCTCCTGTGTGTATTCTCTCATGGGCTCTTAGATTTGAGGACAGGCTAAAACATTTTCCACATTCAAAACATGAGAAAGGTTTCTCTCCTGTGTGAGTTCTCTGATGTATTACAATTTGTGACTGCCAGCGAAAACATTTTCCACATTCAGAACACGAGAAAGGTTTTGGGTTTATGTTTACTATCTCCTTTGTAGATATATAGGATTCTGAGAGATTGCTTGAGTTTGGAGAGTTGGAATCCTTGGTCTTTTTATTAAAAGATTTCTTCATAATCTTTTTTGTTGTTGTCCTGTCCTTTAGAAAAACTGCTGCTGCTGGAAATATCTGAAACAAAATGTAATGGGAGTTATAGAAAATATTTCAATAAATGATTTATTGCTTACCATACTAAGAAAAACTGACTTTATTTCCACGAAACATCAGAAATATGACTATGAAACATTATGGTGATTAAATAATATTGTAACAAAAAGAACAGTTTCAGCAAAGACTTATGGATTAAAATGCAGTTCGGGACTTTACAAGCATTCTCCATGCGAATGCTTGCTAACCACTAACAGGCCGTCCTGACTCTAAATTGAGAGTAATTTACCTCCCTGCTTGATGGGCATTTTCATCGAAAAACTGCACGAACGCAATGGGAACTGTATGCACGGCCGCCATTTCGGGACTTCAACGTGTTCGCGGCCATTTTAACTCCCGAACAGCGGTGTTTGCCGTCGAGTGTCTGGAACTAAAATCTGACACTCAAATAGGCGAACACCGCTGAGACCTCCATACCTTCGGGAGAAATACGCCAAAATTACCGAACGACCAGGCATTCGGTAGAAAGACTCAGCAACAGATGGAGATTTCAGCGAACCCAAGATGGCATGCGGATGGCCAGCCGTTCTGGAGTTTTTACACACGATCTAAGACCGACTGCAGGGCCAGCATTCATGGAACTGTTTTCGTCTACTTTGCCCGTGCAGTCGTTCAAAACTTCTAAGTCCCATATCTCCCGAACGGCTGAACCGAATGGGCTGATTTTTAAATATGTTAGTCCCCCAGAAACCAGCTATCTGGGGACACCAAGTATTTGGGGTACATCCAAACTTTGGGAAAAATATGTTCCTTTTTAATTATGTTATTTAGTTATCTAAGGGGAGGAGATGTACAGAATGTATATTGTCTTGATTGGTTATACTGTTAATTATGTGGGTGTCTCCCTTGCATGGGCACAATCACATAAAAAGAGAGTGTCTGTCAATAAATCCTTAGTTCTTCTTGACCCTTCAAAACGTAGCCTCGTCTCGTTCTTGAAAGGGAATCTCTACAGCATAATCACTCAGCTCTTTTCAGAGCTGCACTGGACTTCTACTCCTGATCCAGCAGAAGGGAATAGGCGACTCCATCACTACACAGCGACTTGCCGGGAAGAAAAGGACGTCCCCGTTGCCTGCTCAGTTCCCAGACAAGCCAATAGAGCACTTTTCAGAGAAAAGACTCTCCCAAACAAGGAGAACATTCACACAAACGAGCCAGAGGGAGACTTAGTTTATGTGGATACAGGAATTCCACACAGTGGACCGGCCACTATCTCCTTTCCTCGCTGGCGATTCGGTTATACTACATGGATTCAAGCGATATTTGCACAACTTGGGCGCTCAAATCCGGGCTATCCGGGGATATAATACTTGTGGTGGTTCTTATTATGCTTGTATACATTTGGGGTGTTTTGTATTGTACCTCAAGTGCCTGGTGTCAGGGTACCTGTTGGTGCTGAATCCAGGGAAGACATCCTCTCTGTTTAGGGGCTCCCTGCCCCTAGCATTTCGGCATATTCCGGCCGTTTTCGCGCCGGCCGCGCTAGCTCCTCCCCCTTTTATGACGCGACGGCTAGCGTCGACGTCATGACGTCGGCATTTACATGAAGTGCCGGGAACCGCTATTCCGGACCTTTTGGGGGCGTGGTCTCTATTTAGGTACAGGGTATTTAAAGGAAACCTTTACTACTGCTCATTGCCCTGTCGTGGTTCTAGCTTGCTAGTCACTCAGCGCGTTCTTTATCTTGTGTTTCCAGTTTTGACCCTTGCTTGTCTTTTGTCCTGTTGTCCTCTCCTCTCCTTTGACTCGGCTTGTATCTCGCTTACCTGTCCTCCGGCTCCCTCGACCTCGGCTTACCTTTTGACTATTCTTGCTTTGTCCCTACGTTAGTCCGGCCATTCTAAGGTCCGGTATACGTACCTCCTTCTGTCCGCACTCTGCGTATTGGATCCCTGTCAGTATCCTGACATTACGACAGGGCCAGATGGATCCTGCAGGTGCTAGTCCTCCTGACCCCAGATTTGAGGCCATGGACCATAGAATGGACCAAATGGCTTTAGCATTACAAACTTTGTTAACACGCTCCAGCACCCAGTCTGAAGAAATACGTTCCACTGCTAGCCACTCGCTAAGTACTGGTTTGGAAGTAGCCACTGTAGGCGCATCTTCCCATGTCACTTCACCGTTACGATATGGGGGTTCGCCTGATGCTTGTCGTGGTTTTTTAAACCAGATAAGCATACATTTCGAACTTCAACCCCGGGCTTACCCCACTGACAGGGCTAAAGTAGGCTTTATTATAACCCTGCTAATAGATAAAGCACTTAGATGGGCCAATCCCCTTTGGGAGAATGACAATCCTTTAGTCTACAACTACACTGCTTTTGTCACGGCTTTTAGAAGAACCTTTGACCCCCCAGGAAGGAAGATTAATGCGGCCAGATCCCTGTTACGCCTTAAACAACAGAATAGGACCCTTGTAGAATATGCTCTAGAGTTTAGATCATTGGCAGCAGAAGTGAAATGGAACGAACAAGCTTTTATGGATGTATTCTTGAATGGGTTGTCTGATGAAATTCTAGATGAAATTGCCACAAGAGAACTTCCGGAAAATTTAGAGGATTTAGTATCCTTCATTTCCAGAATAGATGAACGCATGAGACAGAGGCAGAACACTCGGGAAAGAGTTACTAGACTTCCTGTAAGACTCGCTCCCTCATTTCAGAACCCTGACTCCTATAATCCTACTCCACCAGAACCTATGCAAATAGGTAATACTCGCTTATCTGAGGCTGAGAGACAGTACAGAAGAAGGGAGGGTCTCTGTTTATACTGCGGGCGGAGAGGTCACCTACGTCTTAGTTGCCCTAATCGTCCGGGAAACGCTCGCACCTAAGTTCCCTTAGAGGACGGGCCTTGGGTGTTTCATTACTGTCCTCTATGCATAATAAAAAGACCATAGGCTTCTGATTCCTGTCTCTCTAGCTTGGGAAAAGGGGTTTATTTCTACGATGGCATTATTAGATTCTGGAGCAGCAGAAAGCTTTATAGACCAAACTTTCGCTAATAAGCATTGTATCCCATTCCAATTGAGAGATACACCCTTGGCCGTTGAGGCCATAGATGGTAGACCTTTATCTGAACCAGTAATATTCCATGAGACCGAACCCGTTAAGCTTACTGTTGGTATTTTCCACGAGGAGTTGATTTCCCTTCTGTTAATTTCCTCCCCGGCAGTCCCAGTGGTACTAGGATATTCTTGGCTCAAGAGACACAACCCTCAGATTGACTGGGAGGGTGGAGAAATCGTTTCTTGGGGTATGGGTTGTAGGAAAGAATGTCTGCAGAGAGTTACTTCTGTTTGCCCCGTAAACTCTTATGCTAACACTTCCCAATCCACAGACGTTCAGATACCATTACAATATCTAGACCTCAAATCTGTATTTGACAAGGGTAAGGCGGATACTTTACCTCCCCACCGGTCTTATGACTGTTCTATTAAACTTTTCCCTGGTACTATGCCTCCCAGGGGTACGGTATACCCTCTATCCACCAAGGAAAACTTAGTTTTAGAGGAATACATCAAGGAGAATTTAGACAAAGGATTTATTAGAAAGTCTTCTTCTCCGGCGGGGGCGGGTTTCTTTTTTGTAGAAAAGAAAGACGGTACCTTACGTCCTTGTATAGACTATCGGGGATTGAACAAAATTACTATCAGGAATGCTTACCCTATTCCTTTGATTACTGAACTCTTTGACAGACTAAAGGGCTCGAGTATTTTTACCAAACTTGACTTGAGAGGAGCATATAACTTGGTGCGAATTAAACAAGGAGATGAATGGATGACAGCATTTAATACCCGTTACGGGCATTATGAGTATACCGTAATGCCGTTTGGGCTTTGTAACGCCCCGGCCGTCTTCCAAGACTTGATCAATGAAGTTCTTAGAGAATTCCAACATGAATGTGTAATTGTATATTTGGATGATATACTAATCCATTCTAAAGACATTAATTCACATCATAGACAAGTCAGAAAGGTATTACAGAAACTTTTACAACATGGATTGTATTGTAAATTGGAAAAATGTAGCTTTGACCAGTCTCAGGTAACTTTCTTAGGTTACGTAATTTCCAAAGACGGGTTTATGATGGACCCGACCAAACTAAAATCGATTTTAGATTGGCCTTTACCTAAGGGACTCAAAGCCATACAAAGATTTCTTGGATTTTCTAATTATTACAGACGTTTTATTAAAGGGTACTCCTCTGTTATCGCTCCTATCACTAATATGACCAAACAAGGAGCCGATACCAAAACCTGGTCTACTGAGGCTTTATCTGCTTTCGAAACGCTCAAACAGTCTTTTGCCTCAGCACCTGTATTAGTTCATCCTGATACCTCTCTACCCTTTTTACTTGAAGTTGATGCGTCTGAAACAGGGATAGGCGCAGTGTTGTCCCAAAGACAAAGTTTAGATAAGCCGCTGCACCCTTGCGGTTTTTTTTCCAAGAAACTATCACACACTGAAAGGAGATATGACATTGGTGATAGAGAACTTTTAGCTATCATTATGGCATTAAAGGAATGGAGACATTTGTTAGAGGGCACCGTCCTCCCAGTTACTATCTTGACTGACCACAAAAATTTATCGTATATGGGGGAGGCCAAAAGATTATCTGCCAGGCAGGCACGTTGGTCTATGTTCCTTACACACTTTAATTATATGCTTACTTACAGGCCTGGTTCTAAGAACACTAAGGCAGACGCTTTGTCACGTCAGCACGAACATATCACCTCTACAGAGGACACTTTGTTCCCTATTATTCCTGAAGTTAATATTATCGCCAACACCAATGTCAAAATACACTCTCCATTGCTCGCTGATATTATGAACGAACAATCTCTTGCTCCCGAACGTACTCCTGTGGGCCGCTTGTTCGTGTCTCCCAAATTCCAAGTGGACATTATTCGCTGTTTTCACGATAGCAAGTTCGCTGGTCACCCCGGCATCCACAAAACTTACTGCCTGATCTCCAAAGACTTCTGGTGGCCCGGTTTACGTTGGGATGTGGAAGACTTTGTCAAGGCTTGCAATGTTTGTGTCAGGAATAAACTTCCGCGGGATCTCCCTTGTGGTTTATTGCAGCCCTTAGTCATTCCCAACAAACCTTGGGCTTGTTTGGCTATGGATTTTATTGTTGATCTACCGGCTTCCAGTAGGCATACGGTTATCCTCACGGTCCTTGACAGGTTTACTAAAATGGCTCATTTCATTCCCTTGCCTATGCTTCCGTCCTCTCCTGAACTGGCCGTGATATTTGCTAGAGAAATTTTCAGTTTACATGGTATTCCCAATGAGATTGTGTCAGACAGGGGTTCCCAATTTATTTCCCGTTTTTGGAGATCCTTCTGTTCCCAGTTGGGCATCAAACTGAATTTTTCCTCGGCCTATCATCCTCAATCTAACGGAGCAGCCGAACGCACTAACCAAAAAATTGAGCAATATCTACGTTGTTTTGTTTCTGAACACCAGGATGACTGGGTCGGTCTGATTCCTTGGGCGGAGTTTGCTCACAACAACCTTGTTTGTGGTTCCACTCGTAATAGCCCCTTTTTCTTGAACTATGGCTTTAACCCTACTGTTCTTCCGTCGGTGTCTCCTTCCCAGGGTATACCGTCGGTTGATATTCATATAGCCAACCTGAGAAAGTTGTGGGATCAGACTCGACAAATTCTTGCACGTAGTTCCGCGGTGTTTAAGTCACATGCTGATAGGCGTAGGCGGCCTGCTCCTATTTTTTCTCCGGGTGATAGGGTCTGGTTGTGTACCAGACACATTCGCCTGAAAGTTCCTTCCTTGAAGTTTGCTCCTCGTTACATTGGTCCTTACAGGGTGCTGAGGAGGATCAACCCGGTTTCTTATTTGCTGGATCTACCTCCTACTCTACGCATCCCTAACTCTTTTCATGTATCTTTATTGTAACCTCGTTTGTAACAGATTTTCCTCCCGCTCTGCTCCTCCATCCTCGGTCCGTGTGGATGGTCAGGAGGAATATATCATCAAGTCCATCCTTGATTCTCGTATTTCTAGGGGGAAGCTGCAATACCTCATAGACTGGAAAGGTTATGGTCCAGAAGAGAGGTCTTGGGTTCCTGGTATAGACGTGCATGCTCCTCGTCTTCTTCGGGCCTTCCACGTTCGTTTTCCTTCTAAGCCCGGTCCCATCCGCCCGGTGGGCGTTTCTAGAAGGGGGGGTACTGTCAGGGTACCTGTTGGTGCTGAATCCAGGGAAGACATCCTCTCTGTTTAGGGGCTCCCTGCCCCTAGCATTTCGGCATATTCCGGCCGTTTTCGCGCCGGCCGCGCTAGCTCCTCCCCCTTTTATGACGCGACGGCTAGCGTCGACGTCATGACGTCGGCATTTACATGAAGTGCCGGGAACCGCTATTCCGGACCTTTTGGGGGCGTGGTCTCTATTTAGGTATCAGGGTATTTAAAGGAAACCTTTACTACTGCTCATTGCCCTGTCGTGGTTCTAGCTTGCTAGTCACTCAGCGCGTTCTTTATCTTGTGTTTCCAGTTTTGACCCTTGCTTGTCTTTTGTCCTGTTATCCTCTCCTCTCCTTTGACTCGGCTTGTATCTCGCTTACCTGTCCTCCGGCTCCCTCGACCTCGGCTTACCTTTTGACTATTCTTGCTTTGTCCCTACGTTAGTCCGGCCATTCTAAGGTCCGGTATACGTACCTCCTTCTGTCCGCACTCTGCGTATTGGATCCCTGTCAGTATCCTGACACCTGGGAGATAATTTAAGCAGAAGCAAGCTCACTTGTCTCACAGACATAGAGGCGTCTGGGCGGTCATCCTGTAAAACTGAATGGAGACCCACCTTACTCTCCACTTACCGCTCCCCATATTCCCCGCTCTTGTGCCCTTTCTTCTCTCTTTCCACCACCATCCATCCTTCCCTTCTCCCCCTCCATCACCCTCTTTACCCCTGTCTTCCTCTAATCCGTCAGAAGTATTGTGAAATTAAAATTAAATGTATACTGTAAATCACTACTTAGCAGATGTGACTCCATTTTGTAACAATATATTTTTTTTTCTTTCTTACGCTACTCTCTGCCTGACCAAACAGATTGGAATGCGTCTATGTAAACACATTGATTAGAGAAAACACATCTCTTACACATAAAACAAAGTGTTTGGAAGGTGGGGTGAAAATATATACCATGTGTCTATATTTAATTATATACAAAAAGTACCTATATTATTAATTTGAAAATATTCAGATAGAACCTAATGAATGGATCACATTATTATTAAAACATTTGTTGAATGTGTGTAAAAGACATGTATAAATTATATGTTATGACATATTACTAATGTAGCAGACCTATTCCCCTCTCCGTTCGGTGGTCCGTAGCCCCCTTTCGGTACCCTTGTTTCATTTGTTTCCTAAATGAAGACAAGTTACCCCTTTTTATGCACCCCACCACCCCCGAACACTGCCAACCCCATGGGCTTGTTAACTTCAAAGACAAGGTGCATAGACATCTTCAAGGTAAACCATACAAGACACACCCAGAGCTGAGACTGAACAGCACTAGAAGAATATCTGGGAGAAAGAAGCATCTCATAACAACAAGGCCCAGTTGCTACTAGACCTGAAAGCAGGCCACTGCATGCTGCCAGAACAGTAAATAGTCACCATCACAGTCGAAGATATCCAACAGCAAGTAGCACACATGAAGAGTTGGTCAGCCCCGGGACCTGACATGATCCACACCTACTGGATAAAGAAGTTAACAACGCTGCATGAACGCCTAGCAGCACAAATGAACCAGCTACTAGCAACAGGCTCCCACCCTGACTACCTAACACAAGGTAGAACAATACTGGTCATAAAGGACCCTCACAAGGGAACACCACCATCCAACTACCAACCAATAACCTGCCTCCCCACAACATGGAAACTCCGGTCAGGCATCATAGCCTCCAAGATCCAAGGGCACATGAGTCAATATATGAGCAATACTCAGAAGGTGATTGGAAACACCAACTACTGCTAGACCAAGCAGTCACAAGGGATATTTTTTTCCAATTTCTGATTTTTACTGACAATTGTCATAAGAAACATAGAAAACAGTTCAGGGTACGAAAAAGAAAATAGGGAGGGGGGAAATAACATTTGATTTTGCTTCTCAGTGCACACATTCAGCACGACGAGTTGTGGATTCACCTAATTAATTTACATTATACGTTTCTTTACAGGACTCCTCTAGACGGACGGGAGTGCGTAACATTAGCATATCCGTGAGTTGCTTATGTATCCTCCCCTTCGGTGTGTAGGTTGTAACGGATCACCTGGCACCCCGACTGGGTACCTCCGTTGAAGGATGCTCCTAGTGCTTCCGGAGGGCTCCAAGAACTCCAGCCGACACCATAACCTCCATAGACTCCTTCAGAGAGCAAGACAGGAACAAGCTCTTACAAGAGCTTAGCAGTGAATATACCAAGAGCGTATGCAGAGCATAGCAATCCCTTGTAGCAGATTCCCCAATAAGAGACGGCACTCCAAATTGTGGGTGAAGTAGAACTGAACTTTTATTCAACCACACTGCTTTTATGCACATTCTACAAACATAGTACTGCCCACAGGGTTTTGAAGTACAACCAATAAATACATACAATACACTCAGACACTCCCATACAAAATCCTCCCCTCTGCCTGTGATATAATCACTTAACACAATGGGCTAACTTAATTAACACAGGCAAGAAAATATACAGTTTTGCACAATATTCATAACTCCAAAAGTATACATCACATTCAAATAAACTTACATTTTCAGAATCTGCATACTCCAAATAAAAACATATCATACAAATTGGTCCAGTGGGTCAAAAGTTAGTTGGAGCCTTTGTGACTGACTGCAAGCATGGCTTGGGTGTGGTAAGCTAATTATCTCCAGCATACAGAAAATAGCTCTATTCACCGCAACAGTAAAAACACGTAAAAATACATAATTCCTATCATACTGAACAGAACCCCCACATTCAACCTATCCAGATAGCTTGGATCTGAGCGCTCACTATATACGAACAGCGCTCAGATCCCACAAACACTCAAATCGCCACTGGGTTAAAGTTTAGCAACAAGTTCCAACTTGTCTGGCAGTGTCCCTGGGACAACACCCTGCTGGAGAACAATAGACAGGAAACGGGAGAGGGGCACACCTCATGTATTCAAAGGGGCAGAAAAAGTGTTTCAAAATCCAATAAGACCAAATAATGCTTACACAAGGCAGTGTCTCCCAGGGGCCATAGTCACATGGCAGGAGGCTGGCAATCAGTCTTCTCCAATGCCCAGTGGCGAGGCTGGTTCCACCACATAGGTAGTGTGCAAACTTTACTTAAGTACTAGGGTAACAGATTTACAGGTAAGAGGGAGGGGGTAAGGAAAAGGCGGGGAGGTGATTGGGTAATGAGTCAGATCTAAGACCTTATAAGATAAACACAACAGAAAGTGGGTGATGAATGGTGAAAAAGACCCAGTGCAGGCAAGCTTCTGTAAAGAGGTCACTCCAACCCCAAATATATACAAAACAAGATAAAAGGAAACAGAGCGCCACAATCACTATATAGGTGATATAATAGGGTTAAAAGAAAATGAATAAATTGACAAAGAAAAAAAAAATATAAGGATAAAAATTAACATTTTTTTTCCTCTTCTCACCAGTACTATTTATATGACTTGGTAGGCTGGTAGTGATTATTGTTAGGGGTCAGCTGGGGGTCAGGCAGGCTTTGTACACACAGATCACAAAAGTTTTAAGGACGTTTTTTTGTATAGAACGTCCTTAGTGCGACTGTGTATATTATCAATAAAGTTATTTTACACTTCAACGTGGTTGCGCATGCGCAAGCCAGTCACGCACACGTCATGACGTATGACGGTGCGCGTGACGTGGCGCACGCATGGGCGAAGGCGGAAGTGACTGCACTGACCGGCGGATTCAAAAGAGAAGAGGATTTTGAAGTGAGAAGATGCTCCTGAGGAAGTCGAGAGACGAAACGCGTTGAGCCCACCTGTGGACCCTGCAGTTTGGTATCGGCAGCTTTATTTTACATATCTACTGGTTTAATGCTTGTGCAATATTTTGTCTTAAGTTCACCATTTGAATTTATGGGGGATTGTTTTTTTGTGCACTTCCATCTGTACATTTGCACTTAGGCACATTTTTCTGTTATTTTTTATCCTTATATTTTTTTTTCTTTGTCAATTTATTCATTTTCTTTTAACCCTATTATATCACCTATATAGTGATTGTGGCGCTCTGTTTCCTTTTATCTTGTTTTAGATCTAAGACCTTGGTTGGGTATGTTTAGTTGAGTGTCACCTGGGAGACTGTAACGTGACCAAGTGGCGAGAGGTCATATGTTGTGGAGAGGCTGTACCTTGCTTATTTCCAAGTGCTTTGCTCTATGGGGGTTTAAATGACAGCCGGTTATCTGTCCAACAAGCCAATTTCCGTGCGTGCATCTCCTCCCTGCCCTGGAGGCTATGTGTCACACAATCATACTCGTATGTGGATTCTACTCTGTTCCACACCTCTGCGAACCGTGGCATATTAATTCCTTTCCATTAGCCTGCTATACAATTTTTTGCTGCAGCTAGGATGTGTATGGCAACAACCTTTTGGTGTGTAGAGAAGAGGGTTGGGAGAGATGTAGGAGATAACATTCAGGTTTTAACGGAACTAGTATTGGCATGATTCAGGTAAGGGTTTCTCTTATTTGCTGCCAATATGGTTTCAATGTGGGGCAGTCCCCAAAAATGTGTCTAAAAAGATCCCACGTGTAGGCCACACCTCCAGCACATAGGGGAAACATTGTGATACATATGAGCTAGTCAGGCCGGGACCAGGTACCACCTCATTAAGATCTTGCAATAAGGAAGGGCGTGGCCAACTGCCGAGGAGAGAGGACGCATGGAGTGACAGCTCCCGGCCCAAGTGACCCTATAGCCTGGTAATTCGATGCAACCTCCACACAGCAGGCAATCCTCACGATGGCCCCTGCAAAGCAAACCAAACTCACAGATCAGCTCTGTCTGCCCAAAAGAGGCGGCGGCGGCGATCGCACGCGTGCTAACCAAGATGGTGACGAAGGTCTCAATCCCTCACAGGCCTCAGAGACTCATTCCGACTCAAAGCAAGATACTGTAGGATATGAATATCCATTTTGCTTAATATTCTAGCTGTTCATATAAGGGTTAATTTGAACCAAGAATAACTTTGAAATTGTATCTCCGATTCTCGGAAATAAAATGTATCTAAAATCCTATTTACAGGAAATGTTCTTGGAAAATGATTTTGATATGTTCTTGGACAAGGATTTTTACATGAGATGTTCTTGGATAAGGATTTTGGGATGTTCTTGTTAATTGTCCAAGATTTCGGTATTTGTAATCATCTGGGTTTTATCCAATATGCATACATTATATAACATTGAATTATAACTAGAAACAGCTGTTTATAACTTGTGAAAAACAAACTATGTCACTAATGCTCATGGCCCGACATGAAAATGGGGTATAAATATAACTGACGTATGAATTAAAATTTGAATTGGTTATAGAACACATCTCTTGTCTTCTTGACTGATTCCCAGGATCCTGTCTAACAAAGAGGATGTGGCTCCAACAAAATATCC